GGGACAGGGTGTCCCCCAAAAAGTATATACACTTTAACAACTGATAACTCTATTGATGTTTCTTTCTTTTCTGATTTAACCCATTGGAATTAATAATTATTCAAAGTGTGTATGCATTTTGGGGGGACACCTGTATATGTGCTTACACTCATTTGAATTCTCACCACACTTGCCATGTTCCCTCTGACAAGTCTCCTAGCACCTCTTCCTTCAGCTGGTTTGCCCTCTTTTATCTGCATTGTCCTCAGATTCAGAGCTCCCTCCTCTATTTGAGAGGATGAGTCATCTCACCTCCAACCTCTCTTTCTTGGCCTCAGTCCAGGGTCCTATTGCATATGTCCTAATGGACATACTGCACATATGTATTCCCCCACCCCCCACCGTGTTGTACACACATTCTATGGAAATACTTCATTCAGATGCACATGATTTTTTTATAAAACCAGGCCAGTTGCTCAGTGTTCACCATTATAGGCAGATACTCGGTGCAAAAGAAAAGAAAAAAGACAATGAAAAACAATGACAAGAGCAACTAGCCAATCAGTATAATATCCCTTCTCTCTTTGTACAATCAGCTCCAGCTGTAGGCCCTTTATCTCGAGGGTTCATAGAATGCACACACGTAATTAACCCAAATAAACCCACATTTGTGAAAAACATTTTGAAGACTTCAGCACAAAAGAGCACTTTTTGATCCAGATCCTGTACTATTCTGATTTAAAAAAACAACAACACACACACGCACACAGAAGCCTCATCAACAGTACCCCAATTAAACTCATCAGTTCACAGATGTTTACAGGAAAATGCTCAGCACAAAATTTCACCAAGAATTTCTGTTTCCTGGGAAAAGGGATGGATGATGACAATAGTAATGCTAATAAGAGCTACCATTAATAAGTACTTCAGTGCACCTGTCACTGTACATAGGTCAGTGCGTTTAAATCCAGTGATTCTTATCATCCCTATTTACACATGTCAAAACTGAGGCCAAGAAGGTGAGATAAGTTTCCCAAGGTCACACAGCTAGAAAGTGCCAGGACAAGGATTCAGATCCAGGTCTGTATGACACAAAAGCATCCACTCATTCCATGTCTAAAATCTGTGTAAATTGTCCAACACTTCCTTGTCACAAATAAAAGCAGACTGACCTACCACCATTATAAATTACTCCCCCAATACCCTCTCTTTCCCCACTCCTCACCTCCACCCACTCCTCATCTGCTTTCAGGTCCAAAGATGTTCCTTGTGGTCTAAGAGTCTGTCAGCAAAATCATTTTCAGAAAACATGCTTGAAGGTACCATTTTCAAGACTGTTTCACTGCCCACCTTAAAAATGGCAAAAATGCAATTTAATAAGCACTAGCCACATCTCTTTTTCATGGGTAATCTAATGAGCCGTGTGCTTTCTCTACCCTGGGGAGAGAGACAATGAGTCCTTGTCGAAAACAGAGCTCCTGTGCCACGTATAATCTAATCCAGGCAGTTTTTAGCCTTTGAGTCTTTATTCCTTGACTCGTCATCCCCTCTGTGTTATGTCAACAAATTTCTCTTCCATTTTGTTTTATCAATATACAGGGTCCCCCCTCCCCCCCAAAAAATGTATACACACTGAGAGCTCAATTTTGAAGATGAAATATATTTTAATAAACAGGGCCTTTATAATTATTCCAAGTGTTTGTATACATTTTTGGGGACACACATGCCATAGGTGATGCTGGAGCCCTTGGTCACAATATTCACAGCCACCTTAAGTAATAATTTTTTGAGATAAAACATCTACTTCAATACACATTTTTAATTACTGTATATGAGCATCATTTGTAAATAGTCATTATTTAGGTACAAGTGATACTGCCCTAAAACAAGTGATCAAATATATAAGAAGGTCTCGAAGAGACAGATATATCTAGCTGTTATCCATTTTATTTATTTATCTTTTAACTATGTCAGTGTATTTGGATGACACAATATAGTCACCACCATATTGAGCAAGAAGTATAATGATTACTCAGGCTTATATAACACTTTGGAATTTATGTTACTTCTATATGTAAACTTGGAAGGAGACTCTGTTCTCTTCAAGGGAGAAAGAATAGATGATGTAAGCCCTGGGTTTCAATGAACCAGCACTCAAGGGCAGTCTCATTTTTGTTTTTCAGGAGGACTGTAATCCAACTGATGGCTTTGCCCCTTGGAGGCTGTGTGGCCTCTTTGTTGCAAGATAGCCTCTTTAAACATCGGTTTTTCTCATCTGTAAAATGGCCCTAATTATTTATGCTTTCCTCACGGAGCTATAACCAGGATCAGTTATATCATTAATGTCAGAACTTATACATAGTACACTGAAAACATATGACATGCAGATTTCAAATAAATGTTAGCTATTGTTATTATTACTGTTATTTTTTTTCTCTATTACATAAGGGCTGCCATAATCAACTGTGTTCCCACACCTGAAATCCCTCTACGTTCTCACTTTTCTGCACGGATACATTCTATCCATTCATTCCATAAACAACTGTGTCCTTAGAATGTATTAGAAAATGAGTTTCAGGGAAGCTGAGACCTTGTCTATCTGGAAGAAGAAATATACCGTAGTTCAAGCATGTCAAACTCGTCACTCGTGGGCCGTATGCCTTGTTTATTTGGCCCATGTTAGCCTTTGAGTTTGACATGCTTGCCGTAGATGAATAAAGTGTGCTCTCTGGTGCCAAACTGACTGGCTTTTAATTCTGCCTCTACCACTTATTATATCAATGACTTTGGGCAGATTCTTAACCTCTTGGAGACATGCTTTTCTTATCTATATAATGAAGGTAGTTATAATAGCTACCTCATAGGTTGTTGTGAGGTTTGATTATTTCAATATATGTAAAATAATTTAGAATAGTGCCTAATGTGTAATACAGGCTATAGAAGTGTCTACTGTGATTGTCATTCTTATTGCTTACTGCTATAACTCTAATACATAAAACAGTGACTGACACATAATGGGTATTCAATAAACATTTGATCAATGAATGAGCAAGTGCTAGACATTAAATGCACAAAAGAATTTAAGGGAATGTTTTTTATCTAGGAAAAATCTACAGGAACATATGGTGAGGCTTACAGCTTACCAGAGAGTTCACAGTCAGAATTCATACTCATCAGTCAGGTTCATTTCCCTCTGGTTCCAGGGTCCCTAACTTGGGCTACACCACCAAGGATGAATGGTCTATGGAACTTATATAACAACATGAGGCCAAAAGAAAAAGGCAATGCTGAAAGGTGTTTATAACTAACTTGCTATTTAGATAGTACAGAGAATATGCAAGGATCCAATCGTGGCACATTTATTTTAATCTACATTATTTCAGCAGAAACTAAGTAAGAATCTATAATAATAAAAACGTAATATGCTAATTAGACCAAAGTCCTTCTAGACGACCTTCCAGATGACCTTCTGGATGAAGCCAGGGCTATGAGGGAAGCCTGGGTCCAGGGTGCCAGAGGAAAGCTGGTGCCGGCAGCTGGGGGAAGGAAGGCCTACTCTAGCACGAATTTTGTGCATTGGGCCCCTAGTCTAATCTAATAATAGACAAACAGGATAATTGACCATACCTTTGCTATGTCTCCCATTGGCTAATCAGCAAGATATGCAAATTAACCACCAACAAAGATGGCAGTTAATTTGCATACATAGGCGCGAAACGTGGAGCGAAGACTGAAGGCGGCTCCGGCTGGAGCAGCGAAGGCGCTGAAGGTGGCTCTGGCCAGAGCGAAGGCCTGGGTGCCAGGTGCCAGAGGAAAACCAGTGCTGGCAGCCAGGGAAGGGAAGGCCTATTGCACGAATCTTTTCGTGCAACAGGCCTCTAGTATCATAATAAAAGAATAGCCTAATAAGGATAACCTAGGTACTTAAAATACTTCCTGAATATTTTAAAACCATTGAAGAGAAGTACTGCCGAGAACCACTGCAATGCCACTGCCATGGAGTGATAACTGCACTTGTAACCCAGGCTGTTCTGTCCAATAAACAAAGAGGGGTTGCTGTGCAAGCCACTGGCAATAGGGTACCCTTGAACTCGCTCACCTGCAAAGCCCTAGGTCCCAACATGAGCACTCTTTCCTTAGAAGACAGACTCATGTTAAATGGGACATTTTTATGGGAACAATTTTTAAAGTAAGAAAAGCCAAGTTTGGTGAAGTTGAGGAAAATAGGGGCTTTTCAATAGTTGGTGTAAGAGTAAACTGGTCCATGTTTCCAGAGAGCACTTTGGGAATAGGTATGAGAAGTCTTGTCATATTTATTCATGCAGTTTGGTCCAGCAATTCTATTTGTATGAAGAAATCAGCAAAGTTGTGCACAAATATAGAAAAGGTTTACTGCAACATCACTTCTACCAAAAAAAAATTAGAAGCAAACTAAAGGTGCTCCAGTAAGAGATTAGTGAAATCATTATGTTTTAGCCATGCAAGACAGTGCTCTGTAGAAAACAAAACTCATGTTACTGAAGTACATTCAAAATATGGACAAGTGCTCACTGTAGATTTAAAAAGCAGATTCCAAAACAATGTGTATAATGCAGTCAGAATTGTCTATAGAAATACAGTATATCGAAATAGGGAGATTACAGATAATTTTTTTCTTTTTTTTTTAGTTCAATGAATATGTATTACTTTTGTAATCACAAAAATTATAGCATAATAAGAAAGACATTTGACCACTGCTTTCACTTTTCCACAAAGAGTATTCTGCTTGCTGTTATAATGTATTGCTTCATCACAGAAAAAGGCAGAAGCAACCTTGTTTTTTAGCATCAATAGCTGTATCTTACCTGCTTGGGCTGATGCCATTAACCTATCTGTTCTGCCAAAGTATGAAATAGATACTGGACTGTAATCATTGCAATTTATTCTTGAAATGAGGTCAACATTCTATGTATCTTCTTGCCTGAGTATTTCCCTTCACCTGCAGAGTTTTGACTCTAATATTGAATTTTTTCACCTCTCAGGTAAACAACTACAGTTTAGAAGAAGTAACACATGAAGAGGCAGTAGCAATATTGAAGAACACGTCAGATGTAGTTTATCTAAAAGTTGGCAAGCCCACCACCATTTATATGACTGATCCTTATGGTCCACCTGATATTACTCACTGTAAGTACCACCCTCTGTGTCATCTTTGAATAGCATGCCAGGTTTGGGAAATTGGAATTCTGCAAAACTTGGCAAAGTCCTATGCTCGCACCTTCCCATTTGTTAAGCCTGTGGAAATACTTCAGAGGGATCCTGTGCTCTACTCCCTGGTTGCCTAGCATTTTGAAGGTGAGACACCCTGATGATTTGGCAGGTCCGCCACTGTGGGAAGGCTTAATAATGTATGTTGTAGACGGTGTGGTTACAATAACATAGGAGCAGCACATTTTTAAGGGCTATTTCTTAAGTCCCTAATGCATAATGGCTCTCATGCCATAATATTTTCTCTTCCTAGTTCAAATCTATATAATAGCAGAGTGGAAAAGACAGGCTGGCAAAATAGACCCAGGAAAATACTATGCTTCTTCTTGGTAGGCGGGGAGGGGTAGGGGGGACTTATATTTGATGAAATTATGGTCTGTAATCACCATCATCATAGCTCTTACCTTTACCTGATTTTGTTATATTGGTAGAGAAGCCAGATAAACTTGTTGGTCACTAAGGCAGTAAAGGTGGGTTGAAGGTAGGGATTTCTAGGGCAACAACTAACTATGAGATGCTGTGCTGGCCTGTCTTTTCTAGAACTCTTCTTAATAGGTCAACAAGAACTTTACCTAAAGTTCTGTCTTAATGGACCTAATTGTGAAGCAATTCATTTTTTTATTGAGTTTAAGGAACAGTTTTGTTGACATCAGTAAGTTTTCTCAGATTTTGAGGAGCCACTTGTAAAGTTAGGAACCCAGAATGTCTTCAGGACCTGCCATTAATTAGCACTATGGTCTTAAGCAAATCGGTTAACCTCTCTTAGATTTAGATTTAAATTTCTCTTGAGAGAAATTTACAGGTTGAATAGTTTTGTTACCTCCCCATTACATTAACTATTGCTTTTCTTAATGGTGATTCTAAAATGACTTGCCCCCAGATATGTCTTTTTTTCAAGCAGGTAGTAATCTGAGATCAGTCTTACCTTAGGATATGAAAGAGATTGAACTTCAAAGTGTTTCAAACTGGATGAACTTAGAAAAATCAGCCTTGATACTCTGTGAGCCACTTCATGAGGGCTTATAAGGACAATGCAAAAGAGAGAAAAGAGAGAAAACAAAACTTGCTATTCAAATAAGAAATATGTATTGAGTAACTTTAATATGTACAAAACACCTTGTGAGATAATAGGCGATTTACAAAGGAGATACCACCATGGCTTCCATTGGAAGGAACACTAATTCAGATATATAAATAGCAGCAACATAGGGCAAAATAAAAGGATGCATAGGCCAGGAAAGAGGTAAAAAATATATATCCTTTGGGCATTTAAAGGAAGGAATATTACCTTTATTTAGAAGATTAAAAAATATGCAGAAGGTGGCATTTGAAAATTATCCTGGAGAATGGATGAGATTTCAATATCAGAGATGGGGTAAGAGGCAGAAATTGTTGCAGTGAATAGAGTGGAACGAAGGTACAGATGTTGTGAAGGACAGACAGGCTTTGTTTGAAGGCCATAGGACATGTGGAAGGGAGATTGGAAATGGACCAATCTCGTAAGAACAGTGAAAGGGAGAGGAAATATTCAATACTCTCCTGGCAATTAAGAGCATTTAAGCTAGAGAACAGCATGATCAGAGCTGGAATTCTCAATGTGTAAAATGGAAAGAGGAGGACAGGAGACCCAGTAAGGAGGGGTTTTCAGTCTCCCAAAAAGGAGATGAATTAGGGGGGGGGGGGCGGTGAATAGAAAAGAAGGCCAGAGTTCTTAGTCTTCCTGCTCTGTGAGTACAGCAGATTTTTTATTAAAATATCTACAAGAACTTGTTCTAGGAACCTTCTGCTTTTGATGATTGGATAGTAATTATGTGAAAAGAATGTGAACTCTGTCCTTAGAAAGCTAACATTTTTATTTCAGCAGAAAAATTAATCATCATTCTGAAAACATGTGTGCTCAATCTCTCCTCCAATTCCTCGCTTCACCTAATTATGCTAACAGGGCTTATAGTATAACTGCTATTATATCGTTCCAATCCTAAAGGTCACTTTGTGCTCATACATATTAAATGCCAACAAGCAGCACCCGCCCCCTCCTGGAGGACAAGAAAATCCTTGGCATGTAGCGAAGCCTTTCTGTTTTTAACAAAACCATAGCATGAGACATCGAATCACCCACATAACAGGGTTTTTTTCTTTTCTTTTCTTTTTTCACCTCGTAGCTTATTCTCCACCGATGGAAAACCATCTACTTTCTGGCAACAATGGCACTTTAGAATATAAAACCTCCCTGCCGCCCATCTCTCCGGGAAGGTACTCACCAATTCCAAAGCACATGCTTATTGAGGACGATTACACCAGGTCAGATATGCTTGTTGGTTAATTGGGTTTGTGGTCATTACCAGGAAGAAACTTAATTTGCCTAATGTGTCAGCTGTTGCTTTGGGGCTAACGGAAACTTCTTAGCGCCATTCAAACTTAATGATAGTCTTACTTCCGGTGGAAATCTGCAAATACGTGTCACCATGTGTCATTGATCCCTGTTAGGAAGCAAAATCGCAAATTCTTTGTGGAGAAATAGTAATATATACTTATCCATCACTTTGCACTTTTTAAGACGTTTAATATATGATCCTACTGGAGCTTTATAGCCATACTGTAAGAAAAGTATTATTACTTCCAGAGGGAGGATGGTGCTGAGAGTTCAAAAAGAAGGAAGTATCATACCAATATTTCATGTCTGATGAACGAAAGAATCAGAACTGAAACTCCTATCTTTTGACTCTAAACTCCGCCTCTTGCCACCTATGACCACCCACAAGTCAATGGAATTGGGAAGTCAATTAATCCTCCTTCTAATGTGATAACTACAGGTGGAAAGGAGTGAAATTAACTACAAGTGGTTTAAATTTAATATATCCTGTTAATCCCCATGGGGAACAGGATGGGATTTTAGGACAGAGCACAGAATCACGTTGCTAACCCCACAAAGTAAAATCATGGTTAGCCAGCTTGCCTCTGAAGAAGTCAAGTCTGACAGTTCACAGAGAAGACCAGTCTTTAATCATTCCTACTAGGGATTCAATAAATATGGGTTAATTAATAAATGAATGGGTAGATAAAGATTTTTTTTTAAGTGTACATTTTTTCTTCTATATCTTTAAATATTTTTGGTCCAAAGTAATCTATACTCACTGCATTTAGTGAAACAATACAAAGATATTCAAGAAGCAAAACTCTCTCCACAAATTTTCTCAGGCCAACCAGTCTCGAGGTTCCCACTGTGACATCCTGGAATGAACCATTCACACCTTCTCCGTGTTTATATCCATCCGTAAAATGCAGACTACGATATGGGAGGGGCTCAACACTGTTTTTACAAAAGAAGTTCATATTTAACACATTGTTCTGCAACGTGCTTTTCTCGGTGAACAATACTTTTTCCCAAAATGAGATTACATATAGATATGTACACGTTTTTCTGAAAGTGTTTGTGTAAAAACACTAGAGATGAACTCTTTTAATTTTATATTCTGACTATTTAATGAAGGCATTTGTCAGTCTTTCAAAATGGTCTCACTGGTACCCAGGCATGCTTGCTATTTCTTTTCAAATGATTAAGCACTTTCCATTTATCTTGCAATTTCAGGTTTGCTGAAGTAGCTTCTTAGACCTATAGCCACGGAATGGAATGTTGAGATGCTCCAAAAGTGCATCTGTGGTGTAAATCAAATATAACTTATCCCCATGCTGAAATATCTGATCTCCATGTTCTTAATTGAAATGAGGGCTGCAGCAAAGTAATCCTCATGGCTCTCCAAAGAATTCTGTAAATTTAGGCATCTTTATTCACCAGAGTAATGATCTGTTTGCTCTCATCCTATCTCTAATATTTAATATGATTTCAATTCAAAAATATTTTATCTTACTAGGCTCCTTAGTGAATTAACATTATGAAACCCCCTTTATAATCCACACTCTTTGCTAGCTATTTTAGAGATATTATCCATTTAATCCTCCCCAAAACACAGAAAGAAGGGCTTTCATCCCCATTTTAGAGATGTAGAAATTGAAGCTCAAAGGTGTTAAGGAATTTGCTTATGGTCACACAGCTTTTAAGTGGAAAACAACTGGATACCCTGCAAGCTTTATCATCCTGGCTAGAGAGCAACATTTTAATTTTCTCATTTAAAACTCTGCTCATTGAAGAAATATATAGCTAGAAAGGGATCCAAGAGTTTTGATAAACTCTAAAAACAAATGTGTCAGGATTGAACCTACTTCTACCACTGGCTAACTGTGTGATGCTGGGCAAATCATTTAACCAGCTCAAGCCTCAGTTTCTTCATCAGTATAACGGGAATAGTAATCACATCACCTCAACAGGTTGTTGTAATGATTAAGTGCACAATGCATGCAAACAACTTATAACACTGCCTGACACAGTGAATATTAAATGAATGTTATCTATTTACTATAGCTATACTTATTATAATTTTTAATGGATGTAAAATGTCATATGTAATATTTTAAATTATGCTCCAGGAAGATAATCCATTTCTTTTTATAATGATACTAGTGGCCTGGTGCACAAAATCCGTGCACTCTGGGGGTGGGGGGGGGATCCCTCAGGCCAGCCTGCGCACTCTCACAGTCTGGGAGCCCTCAGGGGATGTCCGACTGACAACTTAGGCCTGCTCCCAGTGGGAAGCGGGCCTAAGCCATCAGTCAGACATGGTTAGTCCTGCCACGGAGGTGGCAGAGGCTCTGGCCACCACCTCTGAGATCGCCAGCTGTGAGCCCAGCTTCTGGCTAAGCAGTGCTCCCCCTGTGGGAGTGCACTGACCACCAGGGGGAAGCTCCTGCGTTGTGTGAGATCAGGCCAAAACCAGCTCTCCAACATCTCCTGAGGGGTCCTGGATTGAAAGAGGGTGCAGGCCAGGCTGAGGGACCCCACCAATGCACAATCGGAGCTGGGGAGGGACACAGGAGGACTCCAGGGCATGTCTGGCCCATCTCACTCAGTCCTGATTGGCCAGACACAAGCAGCAAGCTAACCTACCAGTCAGAGCGTCCGCCCCCTGGTGGTCAGTGCACATCATACCAAGTAGTTGAGTGGCCTTAGCATATCATTAGCATATTACACTTTGATTAGTTGGACGAATGACCAGACAAACAAACACTTAGCATATTAGGCTTTTATTATATAGGATACCCCAGTATCTTACTTCTTGCCCTGCCTCCTCACTTGTTCTCTGGCCAGACAACCTCATTTATAACTCTGCAAAAATCTTCTGAATGGCTGGTGCCTGGCAAACTTGGAAGTAAATTATATCAGCACACGCACAACTCCAGTGCTCTCTCACTGCTACCCCATCCTCTCACAGGTGCTCTGCACTGCCGACATTGCCACGGATCTCAGAAGTATTTGCTCAGAGGAAAATTCACTGCCTCATTCATAAACATTTATTGAGTACTTCCTACTAGGCAGAGAGCACTGCACTAGGAATGTAAATGTGAATAAGAAAAAAATATCTCTAAGAACTATCAAATTGGGACAAAAATACATTTAAACCAGTGAATCCCCCAAGGCCTGTTCCCTGATAATGCAGGCCTCTTCTATGAAGTTTCTAAAAAGCTTACCTATTAATTTTTTTTTAATCCAGAGATTTTATATTTTGGTATCAAATGCCATTTCTTGTGTGATGGCTCATTATATCCTTACTTAGAAAATTAAAAGTTGGTATTTCTACATTAGTCCTCACTTTTTAAACATAAAAGGTCTGTAAAATCCCAATGTGTGGGAACTCCTTAGAGCAGTGGTTCTCACCCTTCCTAATGCCGCGACCCTTTAATACAGTTCCTCATGTTGGAGTGACCCCCAATTTCATTGTTACAAATTGAACATAATTAAAGCATAGTGATTAATCACAAAAACAATATGTAATTATATATGTGTTTTCCAATGGTCTTTGGCGACACCTGTGAAAGGGTCATTCAACCCCAAAGGGGTTGCGACCCACAGGTTGAGACCGCTGCCTTAGAGAAACAAACAAAATTAGATCAGTTCTATGAAGTGTTCTCATGTGGCTCTAGCAGAGTTCCCTAGCACCACAGGAGGCACTTCATAAATATGTATTAGAGAATTTGAGTTTTGCATGAATGCCACAAGAACAGCCTATGGCATCAGAGAAAGTGTTAAAGATGAGATAACTCTGGAGTTTGAGCCTGAAAAAATGTGTAGGCATTCATTAGAGAGTCAAGATACCAGGAAGGACATTTGGGTAGGGGATAGCAGTGTGTACTCAAGGAAGAGTGAGAAATAGAATCTAATGAAAACAACTATTACAGTTTGAAATGTAAGGCTCATAAAAAGAAATAGTACCTCTCTTTAAATTATCTTTATGTCCCTATCCTTTCTCTCAACCTAGTTGTAAGATTAAAAATACATCAAGTGGTAAAAACAAAAAGACTACACTATGCATTATTAACACTAAGTGCTGTAATGTATACGATTGCCCTATATTATTTATATCACATTCTTATTCTTGATTTTTTACAGGAAACAAAAATGAATTTAAGTCATTACTTTATATGACACAGCAAAGAAATAGCACATACAGAATTTTAATTCAGGTCAGTCAGCCTGTCTTTAAAGGCTTCATCTCCATATCCTGACCTCCTGTGTCATGCAGTCTCTTTCCAAGGAGAAATATTGGATAAAGAGAACGGGGCTTACTCAGGAGGCTGGGTTCTAATCTCAGTCCTACTACTTGCCTAGATGACCCTGAACAAGTCATTTAATTTCTAAGAGTCTTGATTTTCTCATCTATAGATTTAGATAAAGGATCTTCTAATTTCTTCATGGAATGATGAGGTTTTCATGTGATAATATGCATGAAAGTTGTCAACTTTAGAGGGCTATATAAAATTATTATTTAATAGTAAAATTACCAAGATATTATAATAGCTTATATTTAATACCTGCTTTATACTTTCCTAAAATAGTAAATAAAGGGAATGAATCTTTAATGATGGGACTCGGGCTGATGGAGAAAGATTTCTGTGAAAAAGGAATCTTCAATAACCTATAAAACCTTACCAAATTGGCAGCCTTTTATTTCATATGCTCATAATATCTTACTCTGTTATAAGAAATATTTCTCTATTTTCTTCATTCTTCACTTTTGTTGAAAAATGTCATAAGAATTTTTAAAGGATTTTTATTAGAATGACTTAGCTGGAATTCTTCAATAAATCTCTTTCTTACTGTTAAGGAAATGTATACCTGAGTAAACTAGGAAATTTTGTTTTTCTATTGATTTATGAAAGAGAGCATAAACAAAAAGTCCTTGGGTAAA